AAATGAGGGAGTTTCCCTTTTCTCTGACCTTTCTTTGCTGTTAGCTGTTGATTAAAAGTCCCCCGTCTGTTTCATATTAACACACTTCCACTGTTTCACAGAGCTAAATCCCCCCACACTTCCCTCAAAGGCACAAACTTGAAACAGCTGCTTAAAACCAGGCAGCATCAGTCAGCGCTAACGAAGTAAGGACAGGTTTTTCTTGAAAAGAAACTCAGCCATAGGATTACTTGTCGTCATATTGATGTAAATGATTTTTTAGATAGCCTCACTTGAGACTGCGCTACTCGCCAGTTAGTCTTAACATTATAAGCACCCGCCTGATGCTATGTAGCATCCCCCTGTGTACCTCAGATAAATCTGACCCAGTGCAGCCTTTAGGTTCTTTGGGTTGCAGGATGAGGCCTCCTGGTCTTACTTCACCTGTTGTTGGTAATTGGTTAAGACATTTTTCATTTTTCTCTTTTTGTATCATAAATGCAGATATGACGACATATTATATATTTTTATAACAGTCTACACCTGTTCTCTTTGTCATCCTTTAAGACTCTGAAGCGCAAGGAGAAGGAGTACGAACACGAGATGGAGCGTCTGGCTCGAGAGAAGATCGCAACGCAGCAGCGGCTGGCCGAGCTGAAGAACGAGCTCAGCCAGAACATGGACGCCATAGAAATCGACAGAGTCCTCAGACAGACCATCCAGCCAGAGGACGACCAGGCCTCCACGTCCACGGCCTCAGGTAAGGGAACAGACTGCAGCAGTTTGTTTTCAAACTGAATCGCAGGAGAGAAGGGTGATCAGAGAAGTTTGTTTTTTGATGTAGCAGTCGTTACATGTGGTTTGAATTTTACTTTTACGTAAACACTCATATCGTGATCACTGTTTCTGCTCTAATCTGCAGAAGGAGAAGATAATTATGAGCAGGACATGGACGAGGACGTTCCCGCCCCTCCTGCTCCCACGCCCCTCCCCAAACCGGCTCCTCCCATTTTACAAGCTCAGCCGCTCATCACCCCTCACCTGGCGATCCAGCACACCACACTGCCTATCCTCACCAGCGCCTCCCCCGTGGGTCCTCCTCCACCTCAAGCCATTGCCCCTGCTCCAGCCCCGGGTCAACCCCCACCGCCACCTCCTCATCCTATCCAGCCCCCAGCCATGCAGGTCCAGCCCACCGTCATCGCTCACGCCACTGTGTCCCATGCTTCAGTCATCCAGGCTGTCAATAATGCCCTTCCCACCAATCACAAACACCTAACGCATATCGCCCCATCACCTGGCCCCAACTCTTCCACCCCTCAGCCGATCACAGCGGCTCCGGCTGCCCCTGCCACCGCCACTCACCAGCCAATAACTGCCCAGCCCATCGGACACATCACCGTCCATCCGGTGGCCCACCTGGGCTCTCCTTTGGCATCCCACCTCCCGACTCTTTACCCCCAGGGCATGTCTGTGTCCCAGCCCACGATGGTGGGCCACATCGCGCACACCTTCGCCCACCACACCCTTCCTCACGTCCAGGCCAATCCTCAAACTAACACTAATGGCGCCCAGGTGAACAGCGCAACTGTGGTGAGCCAGGGAAGCCCGTCGCTAGGGAAACCCACAGCAGTGCTGGCCCCCCACCCACAGCTGGTTGGACAGGCTACTGTCCTGAACCCTGTAACCATGGTTACAGTCCCAACCTTTCCCGTCAGCACGCTCAAACTGGCCTGAAACAGACAATAATACCTGTAGCGATGGATGTGAGACAGGAGAACGAGTTTTCATCTCCTGTCAGTCGCAGAGTCTCTGACAGACACGTGAACATTTGAGCATCAACTGTTTCTGGACTTTGTGTGATGAATATCTTCTGAGATATTTCAGTCACAGCTCTGTTAGTTTGTGAACAATTACATTAAAGCTGAGTCAGCAGGTCGGGCCATTGTTTGTGAAAATGCGACTGTGACGTTTGTCTCCCCCGCAAACACAGAAACTCTGTTTTACCTTTTTATCTTCCTTCCTTTTCTCTTTATTTTACCGCCAGAGGCACTAACACAATAAGCTCAGTTTGCACTCAGGCATCAAGGATTTACTTTAACTGGTCATTCAGTCATTTAGGGGAAATGATTACAGCGAGACAGAGAGAGGACTTTGAGCTCGTGTGGGACGTGTAACGTCACTCCTGTGTTTAAAGGGTGGAGCTGGAGTTGGATTCAGTGGTCTCATCCAGATAAATCACACGCAGGGCCGTTTATCAGTCAATTACATCACATAACATTACATAGTTAATTAGGGCTAAAACATTGTCACGTACTGATGCAGTTATTTAGTTTTTTCTACCAGGAACACGACAGGAAAGTTTTTTGTTCTTCCCCTTTCGCTTTTGCCATGATCTAAGTTCGACACGTGGCAGACAAAGTCATTCTTTAAACATCCTGCAAATAGTTTAAGGAAAAGAATTTGAGGATGGTAGTGCAATAAAAAAAACCTGACACGCTGCAGTTCAGAATACAAAAAAAGGAGACAGCACATCTTTTTAAAGGCAAATTCTGCAGTGGAGTTAATTTTTTCATTTTCTTTTTATCCACTACCTCAGAAGGCTTTTATTTTGGAGGGCGACTCCAAAACAGCGATTTGCTCCAGAGAATTGGGGCAGTGATTGCTCGGTTTGGTCAGCGTACAGTAGTGTCTGTTATTGATGGCCCTGTGGAGAAGTTGTGTCATGTTAACCACAAATAAAAGTAGGGCAGTAAGTTTGAAGCGAGCAGGAGCTGAGTCAGAAAAGCAGCTGAGGATAGAAGCTGGCAACTGGGATTTTCCAGCTATTTGTTGAAAAAAATAGTTAAAAGTAGGAAGAGCGTGCAGTGCAGTCAGCTTTGATCTGGTTACCTACACCCACAGTGAAAAGCTTGCCTTCTGCTGGGTTTTTTAAAGAAAGATGTTAAAGGCTCTCGGCTATCTTTCACTGCCAGATTCAAAACCTGAGAAGTTGCCCAGTTACCCACAGGTCATTTGAGTGCATCAACTCCCGTCAAGTCTGCACACACTGGTGGTTATTGAGGCTTAAAGCGGCTTAACGAGCCCTCAGGAAACCTCCTAGGACTGCTCCGAAGCTCGTGTTTGTGCGTTTTAATAGGATTGTTTATTAGCTAAGACATTTTGAAACCAACCAAAGGCCTGAGCGAGACTGTATGCAGAAAATTGTCTGCATACCTGCTCTCAAACAGTCAGGCAGGTTTCCTTTTGTCCCTTTGATGAGTGATGTTCCCTCAGCACACTGTGGGGAAAACAGGTTTCCAGCCGCTTTAGTGTAACGCAACAGCTCCCTCTGCTGTCGTTACCCAGGCACACACAGCACACAAGTTTCCGATGAGGCTTTTAAAAATTGTGAAAATGCTTTTTCTTTTTTTCTTTTTTTTTAACTTAACAGAACAAAACAAAATTATATGACTGTATGGAAGCTTGTTTATGCCACTAAAATAAAAACAAAAAACACAATGTTGCCGTTCAGACTTCTGAGAACATAACTTTAAATGGTTAGTATTTCGAAATTTCAGCTTTCTCAGAAGTTTCGCTCAGCAAGATGACATTTTGAAGAAATAAAAAAAAATTTAAAAAAAATTTACATTCTTCCAGTGGCAGAAACAACCTTCCATAGAGATGAACTTTATCACTTTATCTACTTGTTTTGGAGGGCAATACAAGGCCAAAAATACAGCTTTTCATTCCAAGAGAAATTTGGAAGAGATGTCCGACAAATGCTGAACACAAATCTTCAGCCGCAGTCCAGAAAATTTGTTAAAAAAAAAAAAATCTAATGTATTTAAATTTAAAAAAAAGCCGAAAGTGTGTTCGTGTGCGAGCGCATTCTCACAGCCTTCTCGCCAGCCTTTTCATCAGATTTCTCTTCGGTATAATGTCGTCAGTCTTGCGTGGCTCTGCTCCTCACCTCCTCTGCTGGTTTCCGTGTGTTACGTATGTATATGTGACTGTATTCAGTATGTTTTATATTCTGTACTATAGCTAATCCTATTGTACCTGTAGCATGGCTCTGTTTTTTGTTTAGGTTTTTTTGGGAGGGGGGTGTTTACCCTTTGCCCTGTGCATGATTGAATGTGTGTGTGAGCGTGTAGCTAGCAGGTTATTTTTTTACACAGAGGTGATTTATGGTACGAGCCTGTTTGGGTGCTATTGTGTGTGCCTCTACTCAGTTTTCCTGAACACTGTGACAGCTCTGGCAAAACACATCGAGCGAATGGAAGAGACAAAGAATTACTGTCACACTCGTTTTTTTTCTTTTTCTTTATTCTCCTTTTTTTTTTTTTTAACATGTAAGGTTTCCATATTTGTGAGTTGGACTGAGACATGAAATGTAGGGGGGGGCAAAAAAAAGCTGTTGATCCTTTCTTGATAACCTAATAATGTCTAATATTTGAGTTTTTGTAATATTTGTATGTATGTATGAAAGTTTTGTAAATTTGTGATTGTATGCACGTTTTGGCAAATGAGTGTATGTATCTTCAAAATTTTAAAAATGCTTGTTTCTTTTCTTTTTTTTGTTTTGCATGTAGATTCTGTTTAGTTTCTTTTGATTAGAAGTTTTGTTTTAATGTTTTATTTCTGGGACCATGTACAATACTATATAACGTGGGCAGAATCTTGGACCTCATGCTACATTGATATTATATATGAATATAAAAAAACATCTTTTCCCTATGGAGAAAGTTTTAAGTTATATATCGCCTGTACACTTTGGGCTGCCTTTTAGATCTAACTGTCCACTGTTTAAGATAACCATGATAATAATGGATTAAAAAAACATATTAATGAAGAATTATGCTGATGAAATAAAGATTCTTAATAAATCTTATTACATTTACAACACATTTTGCTTCTGCGTGAGTGGTTTTCAGAAGAAAAATTTAAACGGGCTTAAGACAGTTTTTTTAACATTTTTTTTTTACTTTTTTTTTTTTTTTTTACAAAACAGCAAAATTGGATATTAAAAATTACAAAACAAGTCAACTCACAAGAAATAAAAGCATGAAAAACTGTTTGTTGAAACATTAAAAAAAAAAAAAAACTTACTTTGCTACAGTGAACACTAGATGGCAGTATGATATGGAGGCCTAAAACTACCATGATCAAAATTAAATGAACAAATAACTTGTTAAATAAAAACACCATAAAATAAAAAAAATACTTTTTTTTGGTAACGTGTTTCTGCATCATTATGCAAATTAGAAAAATTGTCGATCGAAGTGGAGCAACTTTTCACCTACTGCACATGTCAGAGGGATCGTGTGTTAGACGCAGGGGTTGAACCTTTTTGCTTTCAGTAATTTAGAAGTGTGAGGGCTCATTACAAATTTAAATACGGAAGAAAAGTAAAATAAATATCAACATATTTGTTTTGAATAACTTCTTTACCAAATGAATGATGTATTTATTTTGTTTGTGGCAGCTTTGGTCCATTAACGAGGTTGCTGATAAAGGGATCATGTTCACATGATAAAGAAACAAATCTACCAGTCATAAAAAAGAAATGCAAGTGTTATGTGGTGAAATATGTTTTCACTCTTTGCTTTGCAACAGATGTCTGAAGACGAGGTGCTCCAAGCTGTACAAGAGGCAGCGGTGCCTCCTGCTGTTCAGGAGGACAATGTCAGGGCAGAGCTGGTTTTTCTGGATCAGGATCATTTTCACACACGTCCTTATCATTTAGCACCAATATGTCTCCTATCAAACATGTCTGGGACATTCTGGGTCAGCGTGTTCATCAGTGTGTCTTTTGCATGATGAACACACCCCAACCAGTCAAACCAGCCCCTCCCTGAGCGTGGATCCGCCAGTTAGAAGAGGGGTTTTCCTTCCCACTGTCGCCAAAAGTTTGCTAATAGGGGGGTTTCTGATTGTTGGAGTTTTCTCTGTATTACTGTAAGGTCTTTACCTTATAATAAAAAGCATCTTGAGGCGACTGCTATTGAGATTTGGTGCTATATAAATAAACTTGAACAGCAGCAATCGATTATCATTGTACAGCTGCAGGCTGCTCATCCAGGAATGGAGAGCAATTCTTCCACACATCCAGGAGTTGGGTGACTGCTTGCATTGGATCACATCTTATATTTACATATGCCATAGTGTTGGTCTATAAACTCTATTTAAAACACTGACTCGTGTTCCTTTTTTAGCTAGCATGTGACTAAAACAGTTGGAGCACTCTGGTTTTTCGAATGGGTGACTCATTCCAAAGTCCAAATCAGTTATCCTGCTGAGATGCTCCGAAACAGCAATACTGAGCTTTTGACTTGCATGTCCTTGCAGTATCCTTAATAGTTATAGAATGTTTTAGGATAAAGTTCATGATTTTTCTTTTCTAAAGGCGTTTAGGATTAGGAGGTTAGATTGGGAGTTAGATCTGGAAAAAACAGGGAAATCTTTTCTAGTATCTTTGGAAAGTCGCGATTCCAACTATGATTCTCACTGCAAGTTATCCTAAGTAAGAACAATTAGACTCAGTTTCAAGCTTGCCAATTGCCAAGGCCTCCTCTGTGACTCTGGGTGCTCCTCGTCTGGCTCCTGTTTCAGGGATGTACGGTGAGAATCAGCAGCCACCTCTATGACTGTGCTGCATCTGCTCCTGAATCCGCTCCAGCACCTCCTGCATCTTTCTCAGCTTAAAAACAAAATAGGAGAGTAAATACAGGTCTGATTACTCATAAGCTAAGTTGATGAATGAATGAATGAATGAATGAATGAAGAGAAACACACCTCTTCATCCTTTTCATAGATCAGTCTTTCCTTCTCAGTGTCAGCGACGGCCAGAGGCAGAGGAAAGTCTGCCTCACTACCGTCCCGATATTTCTCACGCAAACTAAGACCAAACCCACACACACAAAGATATTACAAAAATATCTGACCTCACTGTGCTTAACAGGGTTTTTTTCAAGTTTTTTTAATATTGGTTTGTGGTGTTGTGCATCCTGCCTCCACCCACCTGCGTTTCCTCTCCAGCACCACCATGCGTGTCATGTTCTGGATGCACTGAGCTCTGTAGTTCTCATAGTGAATTTCCCGCGTCACGTCCTTCAGATCCTGCATGTGCGTCCTCACCAGCATGTTCCTCAGCAGCAGGAAGTCGGAGTGAGCCGGGTTCTCCACTGACCATGCAACAGCAACATTGTTACCGCATCATACTGGATTCTTTGTTATCAAATGGAACAACAGCCAGGTGCGCAACTGACACAAAATGTACTCTAAGGGGTAATGATTGAGTAAAAGTAAACCAAAAAACATAAAAAAAAAAAAAAACTAAAGTAAAATTAAAATTAAAAGGCTTGGGGTAATACCTTCTACCACGCCCCAGGGATAGACGCGACCCCTGAACTTTCGACCTTTGCTCTCCACCTGTACGTTACTCCCAATCACAGCAAATGGGATGCTGTTCTGCAAGAAAACAACAACAACAACAACGACGACGACAAAGAAAAAAGCCCAAACCAAAATAAACCGTCAGCCTTAAAATAGACCAGACAACACATTTCAACCATGACAACTTGAATAAAATGGGGAACCTTAAGTATCTGTTCCTGTGTCTTGAAGTCTTCGTCCTCATCTGAATCACATTCAGGAAACTGGTAGATGTTTATCCCAAACTGCTTGATCTCCTCCCTGATCTGGAGCACATGAACACACATTAGGAGAAGATGTGTAACAGAAATAGATAAACTATATAACAGAGATTGGAGATCAATTACAGAACAGAACTGGGTTGTCAGAGGGTCAAATCGGCCCTGCTGGATAGGTTTGCATAGTTTGAAATTAAAGGAGTCATGAATAATTCCAACTTTGTGCACTGCAATTCCTGCTGTGTTGTGATACAAGGCAGGATGGATCCATGCGTACACCAAACTCTGACCCTAACTGCAGAAATCAAGACTGCTTCAATCTGATCAGACCAGGTAATGCTTTTCCAGTCTTTTTGTGTCTGGTTTCAGGACCTTGTGCAAATTGTAGCTTCAGTTTCCTGTTCGCAGCTGACTGCAGTGCCACCTGGTGTGATAACCTGACATTGTGCTTCAAAGTTCCACATGTGTGTTCAGAGATGCTCTTCTGAATACCTTCACTGTAATGAACGGCTATGTGGGTTAATGTTGCCTTCATGTTAGCTCCAAACAGTCTGACCATTATTCTCTGATATCAACAAAGATTTTTCACCCAGAGAACAGCTGCGGGCTGGATATTTTCTCTTTCTCAGACCATTCTCTGTAAACCCTAGAGATGGTTCTGTGGGAAAATCCCATTTAGATCAGCAGTTTCTTAAGTACTCAGACCAGCCCTTCTGGCCCCCCAAAACTATGTCACATTCAAAGTCTCCTAAATAATCTTTCGTTCCCATTTTGATGCTCACTTTGAACTTCAGCAGGTCCTCTTGGCCATATCTATATGCCTAAATGCATTGAGCTGCTCCTGTGTGATTGGCTGATTAGATATTTGTGTTAACAGAGAGTTGAACAACACCCAGTGAAGCAGCCGTGTGTACATATTGGTATAACTGAGCTGTTACCTTCATCTTCTTTCTGCAGACCTCTGCTGGTGTCAGGCTGTCAGCTTTGGCCAACACAGGAATTATGTTGACTTTTTCATGAAGCGCCCTCATACAGTCCACATCCAGAGGTCGAAGGCTGATAAGAGAAAATAGTCACATACAGAAATGTGCAAAAATAAGCAAAAGTTTAGCTGATGCTGTTGGAACAGTGTTATCGCCGTTTCATCAGTGTACCCATGTCCGAACGGTGAGATGAAGTAGAGGCAGCAGTGGACTCTGTTGTCCTGAATGTTTCTTCTGTTCAGCCCGCTCTCGTCTCTGAAGTACTGTTCAAACTGCTGGTCGATGTAGTCGTCTATGTGCCTCCAGCTGATGCAGAAACAGAAAATGAATGAGTGAAACCTGGAGGCACACTTTCAATGTGAGCGATGAAATCAAGGGCTACGTATGTGCTTCACGAGTTCAATTCAAATGCCACCAAAATACCAAAGTCTTGCTTGAGTTAAGCTGGTTTGACTGCGAGGAGGAGTTCGTGACCTCACCTTTCTGTGTTGTTGACGGCATCTCCGAACCCTGGCGTGTCTATGATGGTGAGCCTCAGTTTGACTCCTTTCTCCTCAATGCCAACGGTGTGTTTGATGATGGCGACTGTTCGACTGATCCGCTCTGTAAGCGCACGCAGTTTGTTCAAAGACGCATGAGATCACACACGTGACATCAGATTGTGTGTCTACCCCCCCAATACAGAAAGTGAAAAACTAATGCTTACCTTCAGCATTGAGAACTTTTCTGTCCTTGTAAAGATCCGTGAGGAACAAACTGTTGATTAGTGTGGATTTACCGAGACCGGACTCCCCTACAGAGACGTTTGAGTAAGGTAATAAATCATCTGTCTTCCTCGGAAGAATTTGTGTCAACAGATAAAGTTACAGGGATTTATGGACGCCACGCTCCCACTAATCAGTGGCGTGTTTTAATGATCGCTGGCAGAGCAGTGATGTCCGTTATCTCCACTTAAGAAGATATTTTTTTTTAACTTTGTTTTACTCGTTTATCATCACTTAAGTTTTTTGATATTTGATATTTTTGACTTGTTGTGCCTTTTGTAAAACCCTTCCTCCTCAGGAGAGAAATCAGACTCACCTGCGACTATGAGTGTGAATGTGAAGCCTTTCTTCACAGTTTTTCTGTGGACCTGGTTTGGTAATGTGGCAAAACCTACGTACTCCTTGTCCTGATCCTAAAGAAGGAAAATACAAAGATAACATACACATATGGGGATATTTACTGCTTCAATTAGAAATTCTCTCTACATCCTCGAGCTTCAGTGCTCCTTAGTTAATAAAGCAGTCAGATATGGGCCTGAAATGTCCAAACTGGTTATCAGTAGCCCCGTCGTTCTCCTCATGGATACTGTAGCACTTATTATCTTGAATAAATAAACATATATTGTGTCACAATAACAGCCATGACTCTCGCATCACAGGCTGATCCCTATTGGGCCACAAGCTGGACTGCAAAGGATCACGAAACCTCATTTCACTTTGCCTTTGCCCCAGAAGCTTTGGTGCACTGACGATGAGCAGACAAGAAAGGAAACCATAGACGCGTCTTAGCTTTAGAGCTTAATATGCTCTTTAAGGGCCAGACAGTTGTGATAACCAAACTCGCTTGCCGCTTTTTTTTTCCTGTGTGAAAGTTGATGTCGTAAACTGTGTTTCTTTGAAAGCTGCATGAAGGAGTTGGAAACTGTTGAACGGGTACTGAAAGTGGGTGTAAGGTTTTAAAGATGTACTACGAAGTAAAGTAACACAGAGGTTCAGGCAACAAACATTTAGAGACATAAACAGCCAGACATTATATAAAATAGTAAAAACACACCTCAGGAGAGTCGTAGGGGTCAAAGCGTCCCCAGGGGCTACGTGGGCGCATGGAAGGGCTGAGCGGCGAGTCCAGAGACACCTGAGAAACAATCTGCCTCCTCAGCGGTAGCTGCTGAAATTCTGGATCTAGTCCCATGTGATTATGCCTGGGAGGGACTGCTGGAGAGCCCCTGGGGTGGAAGGGGATGGTGCGGACCAGAGAGGGAGTCCCAGGAAGGCTGAGGTGTCTCCCGTTGATGGGGCTCCCAATGCCTTCTGCTCCATAGTGGCCTGGTCTCTGGTGCTGTTCACCAGAGTGAGACATGAGAGGCAAATCCCTCATGGCATAAGGATACTGCATGTCCTCCTGGTCCCTTATGGACAGACTGGACAACTAAAACAGAGAGCAGCATGATTTTTCCTCTGTCTGATATTATTTTTTTTAAATTAGGCACAGCAGACGAATATACCTCAGCTGACAGGACTCTTGTGAAAGCCCCTCTCTAATTATGAGTGTGTGGAGATATGTGGCTGATAACCGTGCTCTCCTGAAGGTACCGCAGTGATGCTGGGCTGAGGCTGATTTTGGTCATCTGATAGGGGGAACCAGCTCACTTATCTGCCTCTTTTTCTCATTGTGGCTTTGTGTATGTGTCCACAGCCTATGTGTGTGTCCACAACATAGACGGATTATCACCACACTCACTCAAGATTGTTTTCTAAGCCTCGTGTTTGCAGTCAAACAAAAAGATGGGTAAGCTGGAGAAACATCGAATCCTAAAACCTGAAGAAAAGTCGCATCATGATTAAAATACTCGCCATTCGTGTATCAATCATTGGTCATGGTTGTACCTCTGTCTGTCTGACCTCAGCGAATCAATGGTAATGCTGATATTTTGGCTTTAACAGCAGTAACTGGAGATGTTTTTCCTCTAAGATAAGCACTAACTAGGCTTCCTGTTAATCTCATAACATTACACACTCCAGACTGCCTGTTGTGAGAAGACAGAAGGTTTCTCACAACAGACCAATAAGATTGTCTTTGTCCTCAGAGGAATTAACTTAATAACTTAAATTTCCAGGGTAGCCACCTGTTCCAGGAGCTCTGTGTCACAAGGCTTTGACAAGGAGATATAAATAACTTAAGAATAGAAGCTGGAATTTATTAAAATGGTAATTGAAGGAGGCCATGAGGGGGTGATCTGTATTCTGGTCATGCAGTAAATGAATCATAATGCTATGACAGTAAAACCATGATTTTTTGGTGTTCCACTGTAATTTTCCTCCTGCCCTTTAGATATCTTTAACACTACTAAAATTAAAATAATCAGGAAACTAAAAAGTCTGATTGTTTGTTGCTCTCTGAATACATGGCCTAATGACGTATCTTTTCTTGCAGTGTTGGACTAAACCCTTCACTGATTAGGTGTGACCTGTGATCTCATTATACCGTTACAAATGCCGTCGTCCATCTGTCCAGGCAGGATGTAGAGACCGTTTGAAGCTGGAGGTTTGTAAACAATAAGGTCAAACCGGATATACCCACAAGGCTGTGAGTGCCGGTTTCTCAGGTTCGTTCAGCATGAAATCTATAGCTAGTTAAAAATAACCTGAATTGTATGTTTTTGTGCTGATTTTGTAGTTTTCCAAAACTTCACTCCACACCTGCTTCCACACAAAATGACTGTACCCTATGATGAGGAGCTAGGATAGGGAATTTCCACCTGCTTTATCCAAGATAAACACCCTGGGCTCTTAAAGTGGTTAAAGGAATGCAGAAAAGCGCCGGCCACGGCGCTGCTGGATTGACCAGGGTTTATCTGGCATTCCTCTACCTGTCAGCTCTCATTACCCACAAAACTTTGCAGTAGGCTTAATCCAGCTTCTAGCGCTCTGACAGGGTTGGGGTTTGGAGATTTAACTCTTAAACACACACATAAGCTCAAACAAACACTACTTCTATAGGCTACTCTACAAAATTGTCCTACCTCCTTGCCCGAGAAAGTTGAAGCTTTGTTTTGAGGAGAGCAAATTGGAAAAAATATATATTAAAAAATTATTTATTCAGGTTTGCTGCATCCATCCTGTACAAGCTAAAAACGTAATCAATTTAACGTTACTACACACCCTGATGTCTAAAAAGTAAATCTGCAATAAAATGCAGAACTGAAATGGAAAAAATAGCAGAAAAATACTAAATGACCCATAACCCCCCATTGTTTATACAAACAGATAAACTGATGAAATTACAGTAAATAAGATGAGAAAACATTAGCTTAAGAATACAATAACCTACAGAGATATAAATCCTTGCAGGATTGTCACAGGCTGCAGCTTCAATGAGCTTTAAATTGGCTGAGCAAATTTTATCTGCTGAAAGTATCAGTGTAGGCCAATTCCAGTTGCTTTCTGAAGGAGCCTTGTTCTGTAGACTTGTATAATAACTGGATTATAGACTTACCTTTTTTATTGCTGCGAAATCTGACGGGAGAGGACATGTGCTCCATGCTGCCGGTATTCAAGCTGTCCCTGGATCAGAGGAGGGCAGCGCATGGCTGTAGCACAATGCTGCAGATGCTCTGTGGGCGTGTGCGTCCCTGAACTATACTACTCAGCTCCGGGTGCACCCTGCTCCATGTCTACTCAGTGTTACCGCTTTTCTGTGGTTACACAACAGCTTAATACAGCTCAGCGATCATCATCATCATCATCATCATTATAATAATGTTAATGGAATGATTGTGAATCTTTAATATATTTAAAAAAACACAAATTTTGTGCAAAAGTTTGAGTGTGTTTTGCATTTTCTCTAATCCACAGAGGGTCAAAAGCATACATACAGAAGTCAAATGTAATATTTGGTTAAATATCCCTTAGCAAGCTGCACCTCAACCAGATGCTTTTAGTAGCTATAAACAAGCTTCAAGCACAATTCTGGCTGGAAATTTGATCAGTTTTGGTAAAGTTCATTTAAATTAGTTGGTTGCCTGTCACAGACACAGATTTTAAACTTCGTTCACAAATTTTCAATAGGATTGAGGTTGGTACTTTGGAAAGGCCATCCCAGAAGCTGGATGTAAGCCTACTTTCCAAAACCAGTTTTGATGTGTGTTTGGGATCATTGTCCAGGTGGAACTTCTCAATATTTTAAAGATTCATTCATCCAGCTGTTGATTTGAGGTAAAGTTGAAGAATTAGAAGGTACTCTTAATTCTTCCCAATTTCTGTAAATCTACAGTACAGCGTCATAGATCTTCACTGAGATCCATGGACTTCCTCATTGTTTGGAGTATTGGTCAATCTGAGGCTCTATGTATAACTAAACCTGTGTGGATTATAGAAAATACTGTTTAAATTCTGATTTGTGACCCATTGTTTATTTAATCTTTGTGAAGCCAAAAAGACATGTATAGTACTGTAGACGTAAGCAAGGTTAGCGCTTCAGCTTACTTAGCTATCTGTGCTTATTGAGTTATATGCAATCATTTTTAATTTTTTTGGCAACCATGAAAGCTTGAGTCTGAAAGTTGCTGCCATTTTTATGTTTTAATATTATTGTATTTAGGTACATTTAGTCAAGATTAGCCAGTTTAACTAAGCTAGCCTAACGGCTTTTTTTGTATAAGAAAAGTATGTAAAATATTTTGGTAAGTGTGTACACATTCATGTCGTTATATAGTAAAGTAGTCACATTTAGACAATAAGTCAATCAATAAACAAGCAGGAAAACGATTGGATTTAAATTTATGCTAACACGTGAGGCTAATTTTAAAGTGTTTGTTCAGCTTTTTCTTCCAAATGATTAAAAAGTCTTCACGATATATTTCTGGACTAAATTTCTTAATGTCAACTCTGAACATCATTGAGCTGCTTTATTTTTCAAATATTGCTGGTTGATTTACAGACTGACACCTTGTTGGCTACAGTAATGTTTTTGTCAAGAGAGGGCCCCCACTCAAGCCTACAGGTGGTGAGTTTATATTAGCTAGGTCATGGGATTATATTATAATTTATTCAAATTTGTTAAGAGATTTAATATGAAGAATTTGGAGGTTGTCCTGCTAAATTTCAAATCAATTTAAGATTAGAGAGGGAACAAATGTGATTTTGAACATGGCATGGTTGGTACTGACAGATGGGATGAGCTAAGTATTTCAGAAACTGATCATTTAAATGGGATTTTCCTATGTCTGGGGTTTACAAAGAATTGTCAGGGAAGAAAAGAAAATATCCAGTGAGCAGCAGATCTGTGAGAGAAAAGGCCTTGTTGATGCTAGAGGTCAGAGAATGGGCAGACTGGCTTAAGCAGATAGAAAGGCAATGGTAACTCAAATAGCCACTTGTTAAAACCATAGTATGTAGAAAAGCATCTCTGACTGCACACCATGTTGAACCTTTAATTGGAAGGCCACAGCTAAGAACAGGAAACAGACTACAGTTTGCATACGATCACTGCATTTGAACAAAACAAAACAAAACAAAACAAAAAAAAACAGTGCCCGATTTCTGCTGCAACATTTGTATGGTGGGGTCATACTTTGACCCAAACAACATGAAAGCATGAATACATGCATCCTTGTATCAATGGTGATACAAGGATGCATGTATTCATGTTGCAGGGGATACTTCGGGCCCCAACTGAGCATCATTTAAATACCTCAGCCTACCTTAGTACAGCTGCTGACCATTTCTATCCCTTTAGGGTTTTTATGTTGTGATGTTTTAACCTACAATATAAAGTTCCTTGAGGTGACTGTGAAATATATCTTAAAAAATAAATAAAATAAAAATGGGGGAGACTCATATTGAATTATGACCGCAGTGCACAACTTCCAGCAGAATGAGATCATTTGTCCCAAAGTTCAAATAATCTCAAACTGGTTTCTTGAACAATGACTTCTTTGCACTCAAGTGGCCTCCACAGTCACCAGATCCCAATCTATTACAGCACCTTTGAGATGCGGTGGAACGAGAGATCCACATCATGGATATGCAGCCGACAAATCTGCAGCAACTGTGTGTTGAGTGGATCTGAGAAATGTTTCCAGACTCTATGCCATGAAGAACTAAGGCAAAAGGGTGTACCTAAAAGGTGAGTGTAAACAGTCCATCATAACAAAAATGCGTGCAATCCTTTCAGAAGAACCGTGCTGATAATTCTGGCTAATTTGTCTTTAATAAGGTCAGCATTTTAAAATATTAAATAGTTTATATTTAATTTTGTGTAATGTTTGGTAAATAAATCTTTGCTACATCGTAGTTAAAAATTTTGACTTGCATCTCTTTATTTTCTTAATTATAGTTTAGTAGCAGTAGAAGTTTTAATGTCCTCAGTTGGGTTAGATTCGGTTTGACACTTTTCCGCAGCAAATACATAAGGCGACATAAAGTGACATGTGTTCCACAGCTTCTTGGTAAAAGTGAAACTAGAGCCTAAATGGTAAACAACCAGATTTAGCTTATGTTGTTGGCCAATAAGTAAAGACCAGCTGCAGTACACAAAACAAAAACAACAACAACAAAACAAAAATCCCCCCAAAAAACAGTCGAGGTAAATTATAAAAAAGGATTGTCTTTACTTAATCTGTCCACTGACAATTTTTATGGAATTTAAATAAAATTTAGTTTTTTTTGTGCATTTCCATTAAAAAAAAAATAAAAATAAAAAATGGAAACAGTTAATTTCAATTTTGATATTTGCTATTCTCAGTGTCAGCAGGGCTCTAGCTGCAGTCACATAAATACTGGTTCACAGTGGAGTATGAGACCAATGTGGGCAACATACAAATATTTACTGCTTCGCATGATGAATATCTTGCATAATTCTACATTTACATATTCCTCTCACAAATGCAGTTTCATGACTAATTTACTTGACTGAAAAGACACAAATGTCTCCACAAACCGTCTTATTCCTTTAATACTGGGCTTTGTAGATGTGTCCCATCTTGGTCATCAATCAAAGAAATGAGCCATCCTCTGTAGATGTGTCCCACAATGCTTTGTATATCCTCCTGGACCCGTTTAACTGCTCTGGTACTGGTCTTGACTGCTCACGCCGGGCTCCTAGTTGTTCTGCAGGGTTACTGTGTTCATAGGTTTCAGAGCCATGATTGCATGAGTCTGTGCTTATCGACCTGCGGCACGACTGGTTTCTACCCTCTGACCCAGTCCTCACAGTAAGGTCAGCCTGAGCGTTCTGCTCGTGGTTTGTGTGGCTGTCAAGTCTGCCATTTTGGTCTTTGTTTTCAGTAAATTGATTCGGCTCAGTGTGGTTATTTGTGTTTTCAGAGCATTGGTGGTTATTATTCTGCCAAAAAGCTTTGCAGAGCTGCTCTAACTCAGAGAGCAGAGGCAGACCAATATCCAGGTGCATCAGCAGGTTCTCCAGCCACTCCTCCAGCTTCAAAAAGGACGGACTGAAAGGCAAAAGTTGCATTAATGAGAAGTTTTAAGATGCTCTGCCACATATTGTCAGAGGTCATGAGCATAAATGTCATGGTAATTATGGGCTTTTAATCATTTACTTTTGTGTCCAGGGTATAATGATGGTACAGCATACATCTTTAATGACATTAAAATTTTTTGAAAATAAGTAGCCCAAACAGGGTCAAAAGTATACATACAGGCTCAAATATATCCATACCCCAAAACTAATGTTTAGTTAAATATCCCTTAACAAGTTGAACCTCAAGGAACCCTTTTTTGTTACTCATCAACAAGCTTCTGGCATAATTCTGGCTGAATATTTGACCACTCATCTTGGCAGAATTGGTAGAGTTGATTTAGATTGGTTGGTTTCCTGGCACTGACGTGGTCTTTAAGCATAGTCCAAACATTTTCAATTGGGTTGAGGCTTTGGAAAGGCCACTATTTGCAATGTACCAGTACTATTGGCAGCAAAACAGCCCCAGAGAATGATGCTACCACTGCGATGTTTGACAGCTGGTACAGGGTTCCCAGGTTTGAAAGCCTCACCTTTACTCCTCCAAACATACCTCTTGGCATTGTGGCCAGATAACGCAATCTTTGTCTCGTCTGACCATAAAACTTTTCTCCAGAAGGCATGGCGAGTCTATGTGGGAAAATTTCAGTTGAGCTTGAAGGTGTCTATTTTGGAGCAAGGGCTTCTTTCTTGGTGGGCATCATCTAAGTCCACGGTGGTGTAAAACTGGCTTCACGCTCCAGTGATGGTGGTTTTCCAGCTGTTTCCAATTCATGCTTGAGGCTTGGTAGTTCCTGGGTTGTTCTTGAACATCGTTATCAAATGCCTGTCATCTGAGGGTGACAGTTTGGGTGTTCTTTGGCAAACTGGTGACACATGTGAATAACTTGTACTGATGTACAGCTGTTTGAGGATGAGGTTGAGGATTGTGGAATCTGCAGTTGTTGGCTTCAAGAGATCTTCCCAACTTCTGTGAATCTACAATTTTCCTTCTTAGAGCTTTGATCTTTTCCAATGTTTAGAGTATTGATCAAACCAATGAGTGCTGCCAAACCAATTGTTTTTATGCTGTTAAAGAGAAACTAACAGTTGTAGTTGATCATGTTTGCTCATGAGACGTTAATAGAGCTGGGCTTTGTCAAGTTAAAAGACACTGTAGAACCTTGTCACGAAACGTTTCTGATGAACAGAATCGACCTTTTAGGATTTACTTACCTGGATGACTCAGCATGCATCAACACTGTAGAACCTTCTTAACACTTATTAAAATACGAGTATGTATACATTTCAACTTGTATGTATACTTTTGACCTTGTGTGAATAGATTCTTGTTTTTTTTAGAGACATTAAAGATGTGTGCTGTACGATCATTTCACCCTGGAAAAAGTTCAAAGAATTTAATAAAAGCCCCAAAATCATTATGACATTCACGCCAATGATGAGTTGATGTAAACTTTTCGCCACTGGTAGGCTATTCAGCAGCTAGATTATTTACTGAATTACTCAGTAAAGTATTCACTGTTTGGGTAGCAAAAAGAACGCTGGAAAAGTATTTATTGTTTCTGTATGTACTGGTGAAAAAACAAAAACGGTAAGACTTTGCCTATTAGCTTATAATTGTCAACAACAGACATACTTGAGCTCCATCTAATTTACTTGTGGTGCAATCTTACCGTTTATCAGCGTCCATGTCACAGCAGAGAACAGCCAGTGGCATGAAAGCAGAGGGGCACTGTGGAGGGTGGTACTGCTGCAGGAAACCTGCCACATTCAGCCCAAAGTCATTTCTTCTTGGAAGGTAGTCAGGATCTGCACTCACCCTCCCTATTATCTTAAGACAGAGACATACTCAGCCTTAAAACTGTTAAAAGTTTTAGAAACGTGGCATTTTCAGAAATCTTTTTAGCAGTCCAGATTTTCTTACCTCGCATAACATGATGCCAAAGGAAAAGATGTCTACCCGTTCATCATAGGTTTTCCCTGGGAGGAAAATGAAGAAGAAATTCTTAGCCTGTCCTGGATATTCAGTGGTTCTGCATTCATTATGTGGAGCTACTTATCCTCAGGCCATTATTTAAATATCTTCACTGTTTAATATTGAAGATAGCAGCTTTTATAAATCCTGAATGAATTTAGAAAATGTCCTGTGAATCCCATTTTCAATTTGTCATAATAAGAAATAATACACGCATGTATTTTTTTTAAATCTGCACCCACCAAAGGTTTATTGCAAACTACGTTACGAAAGGCGTGAAGGTTTAGGAGCTTGATTCAGAATCTGATCACCCCTCAACATAAGTAGTAGTGTCCTAGCTTGTGTACTCACCGTGGATCATCTCAGGCGCCATCCAGTAGGGGTTTCCTACCACAGTATACCGCTTCCTGCGGTCATGCTTGCGGAGCTCTGACAGCGTCCCTTTTGTCGGACGTTCAAGCGAAGATGTTCTACTCTGGTTTCTCTCCTCCATTACCAACCTGGCCAGTCCAAAATCTGCCACCACCACAGACTGGTTCTACACAACCAAAGAGGGGTAAAGAAGTTATAACAATCAGCTGTGAAGTCTTTATTTATTTGAAAGTGGTATGTATAATGAATTTTAATAAGTAAAATTCATTAACATTCAAGAACTGTTGATCTCCTTTCACCGTTGGCAGAATAATAAGAACAAGTCTTGGAATTGGATTAGAAATGTATCTGGACCAAAGTTTTGCTTGTTTTGTTGATATAATTTCAGATTTAAATAAAGTAACACATTCAAGTAACAAAGCAATTTTTGAAGTGGAGCTATATAATGGAAGATACTGTAATTTTTGACATGTGTGCTATAAAACATCTGTTCACCTCTCTGACCAGGCAGTTGTATGAGTTTAGATCTCGGTGGATAACATTCATGGAGTGTAGATAAGCCTGTGAAGGAGAGATGATATATATATATTTGACAAGTTTTTTACCAAAACAGCTTAATAATTTTGCAATAAAAGTTTTTTTATTCTTAGAGTATTGGCTTGAAAGACTTACCATCCCAGCTGCAATGTTTTTAGCATACCCAACTCTAATTTTCCAGGGAAAATCCTTGTCCTGCAACAGAAAGATTATGACCACCATGTTGTGTTTGTGTATGCTGATGGTTCTCATGAAGAAACATAAAAACTTAGTTTAACCTACCATTTTTATGATAGTCTCTCGAAGAGTTCCTCCCTGGATGTATTCAGAGACAAAATGTATTCGCTTGTCCTTATAAAACAGCCCAATGAACTTGAGAACATTGGGATGGTCCAAACAGCGCATCACCTTTACCTGTACAAATTGAGAGGGATGCTGGTTAAACATGTCATGCTCTCTTCTGACACGTGGCCTTTTCTGCGCCCACGACCACTTACCTCCTTTAAAAAAGTCTTCTGCGTCTCTTCGTCGAAGCGTATCAACTCTTTCATCACCATGACCTCCCCAGTCTCCTGATGCGTTACCTTTAGAGAGAGAGATAAGTTCATAACAGTGCTGCTGATTAAAATCAGCATTACAACTAAAAGCGAGTTGCAGTCAGGCAACAAAATGATGGAAACAGCAAGGCACCTTGACAGCCTGTCCAAAGCAGCCCTTGCCCAGCACTTCTCCGTGGATGAGGTCTGAAGGTCTGAAGATACGGTGCGCCCGGTCTCCTGGATCTACTCGAAGAGACTCTGAGCGAACCATTTCTTTTTTTTGAGATAAAAGCGACAGCATTCCAGGAGACACGGGGCACTTATCTATACTGCAGCTGCGCCTGAGAAAGAAACAAAGACTTAGAAAGGGGAGAGTATTGAGTTAAGGCAAGCTGTCAGCTGACATCACTTACGAAATGTTTCTGGATCGGATTCCTGGGGTCCCTTGGTGCTGAGATGGTGAGAGTCTCATCCTAATTTGTTCATTTTGCTCATCTGGTTCTTCTCTGGGACTTGGCTCTTCCTCCAGACTTGGGAGTTTCTGGGTTGAAGATAGTTTGTTGCGGACAGGGGGCTCAGGACAAGAGATGTTATCCGAGGGACTGTCCGAGTGAAAGAGGTCATGAGGTGCCTGTGGGTTGTGCTCAATGGTCAGCTGCAGTGGTCTGCTTGTGTTCTGGATTACACGGTTTATCTAGTGGAAAGGACATTTAACATTATGGTCACGTTGACATTTTTGTCTCTTCTCTCTTAAACTTGTGATGTTATAACTGAAGCAGTGGGTAGTTTGAGGCCTACCTCCTCTGGAGAAATATTGCGCACTGGGATGCAGTTAACCTCCAATACTTGATCACCAGTGTGGACAGAGGATAGCAGGTCAGGGCTTAGGACTGATGAGTCCAGCCTGAACAGAATGACAGTGATTGAATAGGTGGGCGAGACGTGAGGGTCAGAATTGTTAATGGCTAAATTCAGAGACTCACTCTGTCACAGTCACAAGAGGACTTTTGTCTTTGCCAAAATCAATGACTACACTCAGGCCTCGTTGTCCGACTGCATGTGGAGGGAAAGAGACCAGCGCCACCATGTGTGGTCTCTTGGTAACTGGAGAAGTTGGCTCCACGTCCGATACAGCACCCTGAGAATAGCAGTGACCACTGCAGAGGCAAATCAAAAGATGAATACTATAGTCGCTTGAAGGAAGGGGGG